AAGATGACAATTCAGCTAAAGGGAAGGAGATTTGAGACGATAGAAGAGATTCAGGCAGAATCGCAGATGGTGCTTGACAGGCTGACAAAGAAAGATTTCCAGGGATGCTTCCAGGCTTGGCAGCGGCGCTGGGATCGTTGTCTTCACTCCCAGGGGAACTACTTCGAGGGTGATGGATGAATTTAATACCTGAGATAAGTGTACGGGTTTTTATAGGCGCAGTCTTGACACTTTCCGATCGCACCTCGTTTACTTACCATTGTGCATTGAAGGGTTGATTAAGAACACTCGGGTAAAGTGTGTACTCTGAGATTGGGCTTTTTTGCATTCTGCAATTTAAATTTCGTTTTATTAAAATAAAACTTTGTTGATAGCCTATATCTGGGTGTGCTGTCATAACCTGTTTAAATAGGAAATTTCTTTGCATGACGTGACTGAGGAAAATCACTTAAATAATCAGTCTGCGTATCCGGAGGCATCGTTTCAGCTACGTGTTTATGCGAGATTTATAGACTCTTTAGTCAGACAAGGATTGGCTGCTTTAAGATGCTGGTAACGTGGTGAGTTAAAACCGTCTACCTGGGAGATGCGAGCCCCGAACCTCGCGATGTCAGCCCAACGCCCACCTCGTAAAGTCGTGTTTATGGGTTTGTTTGCGCGACGGTGACATTTACTGCGACGCGAGTTTTGACAGCAGGATACAAACTCTGGCGTTAACCCTGAAAAAGAGCTCCTCATAAAGTTGTGTTCATCCTGAAAACATGCACTCATGAAGTTGTGTTCAACCTGAAAACATGCACTCATGAAGTTGTGTTCAACCTGAAAACATACACTCATGAAGTTGTGTTCAACCTAAAAACATGCGCCTCGTGAAACTGTGTTCAACCTGAAAGTATGTGCCTCATGAAGTTTTGCAATAGTCCGATCCCAAGTAGACGTAAAAACCTCGTATAATGTTTCACTGAGTTGGTTTCGTGTCGACCGATGTACCAGGTACCCTGCACGAGTTTTGTTTTCTGCATTTTTCACATGTCTTATTCTGCAAGATAAATTATTGTAATCCTACTTTTTATGGTTTTTACGCAATTCAAAAAAATATAGCTGTTTTATATGGGTGTGAAATTTGATCTCTGACACTAAATGAAGAACGTATTTTAAATGTGTTAGCGAACTGAGAAGAATATTTAGGTATATCAGATCTAAAACTTCTTGACGATGGTGAAGAGTCAATTGAATAAAAATTTACTTGGATATTATCCATCGTCTAGTAAATATAA